TGCCCATGGTTTGTATATAACTCTGATCGTTAAAGTCAAAGCAATTATCATGTAAAACAATATTTAACAATTTCCTTATATCATTAGCTTTGATATTATTATTTCCGTTATCTTTCTGTAAAAATATATACAATATTCAATGCCTTCATTATGAGGGATATTTGTGTTTATTATATGATCTAAAAATAGCTGCAATCTCATTGGTCCAAACTGTAGTCAACAGAACTTTTTATAAAATCATATTCACTGGGTGTAGTATCATATTAACTGGCTGAATTGGATTTTCCAAGTCTAAAAATAGATTGAGACTCATATTCAATGACAATATACTGTAGACTGTTAATTACGTGTGTAAATTAAAAAATAATTGTTGCGTTTTGTTCTTTATGGCATATTTTTCGATTGAAATATCATTACTTTACTGTTATACTTAAAGGCTAAACCGCATCGATGAGTATAAACTTGAATTACTTTTGTATGCGCAGCGTTCGCGTAATCGTTGCACGCCTCGCACATGCGTCTTTTTTCCCGCGCTTCAACGAGGCAAAATTTGTACATGTATATAAGGATGTACTTTTTCGTGATTTTTTTTAATTCTTAGCCTATTCATATAATAAAACAATTATTGACTAGTGAGCCATTGAATATGATGTGATATTCACCGGCAGAAAGTCATATTGACCTCGGCTATCGCCTCGGTCAATATGTCATCTGCCGGTGAATATCACATCATATTCAATGGCTCACTAGTCAATAATTGTATAATAATGATGAAACATCAAAGGTAACTATAGATATGTGTCTTTCTTTAATTTAAGATATAAAATCGGTGGTATCCTTGATATAGGAAGGCAAACTTTGCATATAAGGATTTAAAATAAAGTCTAGATATTTCGCTATGTTCTCAGTACTGGAGCTACATGCTGAAACAATGGGACGACCAGGGTCGTAAAATTTAAACAAGGCCATTTATTACTGACTTGAACTTAAAGTATTTTTTATTGTAGACCTATCCACTTAAAGCTGGTTTGCCAAAATACATTACGGTTAATGCAGACATCTTAAGCTGTAAATACGTTTTGGAGGATGGAATGAACGATGAAAACGATACACTTAATACAAACAATCGGACAGACAATACAGAAAGAAAATTACTTCAATTTTCAATGCTGGATGATAATATCTGTAACGATGTACATGTTATGATAACCAACACGCCATTTTGCCGGGACATAAAAAAACCAGAGTTACCGGAACTAGCATGAACAAAGTATACACTGCATAAATTCATTTCCTGTCAATGCATTGTCCATAAAGTTCAATATTTGTCCAAGAGACAAATATTTAAACAGTGCGTTCAGGTAAATTTTAGTTATTGCCATTTTTAAGTGTTTTTGATTACTTCAAGTTCAAGCCAGTGATAAATGGCCTTGTTTAAATTTTACGAAGTGGCTTCATTCAGTCGGAATAATAATTTATTACGCATTTTAGTTTTTCAATTTGAAGCCAACATAAACGATTTGGACAAGTTATAAATACTGGTACAACCTCTGAAGGACACAAAGATATAACAATTTTATAATCTCAAAATGGTTGCTTACTCAACACTCGTACGTTTTTATAGGGTGTTAGGCTATATATAAAGAAATAATTTTATACAATAACATTTCAAAAAAAACCTGTCAAAATATGTTGTTTCCATGCATAGTCTTGCTGACAATTTTCGAAAGAGTTGTATTATAGAATGTTTCTGTTATTGAGCAAACTTGTAAACTGTGTGTGAATAAATTCTATTACTTGTTATTTTTCCTATATTTTTGTTTGTTGTTGTTGTTTGTTGTTGTTATTGTTGTTATTTTGCGTTCGTTAATCCCAACTATAAATTAAGTTAAATAAACAAGACATATTACCTAAACTGACTTCTTACTATCAAATTAAATCACCAATGAGATAAGTCTACAAAGAAATATCATCATCGAAAATGCACCGTACAAAACCTTTTATTTTAATTTGTTTTAGAAATGTTACTTAATAAATTATATAGTGACACATTAAAATGTATTGAATATTACATGGAGGCCGGATCTTGTCTATTTGATCCTCGGTATGACATACAAAGCCCACAATTGATTCGTACTTTGCTGTTTAAAAATGACATTGTCATTCAATTTTTAATACAAGTATACTCATACACAAAAGTTCTGACAGCAATTTTCTAGAATTTTATCCGTTTAAAGATATAAACGGTGTTATTAGTACTGATAAAAATCGTCATATCAGTTTTTCACTTTATATTGATTTGTTGCGTAGAAAATGAAAAAATGCCTCATTTTTTCAGCATGAATAAATAATGATGATGATTTATATTACAGAGCAAATGAGATATATATTAACAATGATCAGTATAGTTTTTATCATATATCGGATTTGAAGCGTGTTAAATATTGGTTTTTACTCCATCCAGGATACCAGAACAATTAATATTCTCTGTCGTTAAAATCCAGCAGATATTGATGACAGATATAAATGCTACCCGTGACTGATAGACGCTATTCTTAACTTACTCAACAATCGTATTTTATCGAAAAGTGTCGGTATTATTTGTGTTTGTGTGGATTTATAGATCTAGAAATGTCGATGATGCTGTCTGCAAGGAGAATTTCATCCCAACATGCCATCAAACAGAGTCATGAAATCGCCAAACGCGACATGTCACAAAGAAAAAAAGTTATAAGGTATTACATAGCAATTCTATTATAATTCTATTATGCTTCACCGATACAAAATGTTGTTTTCTTATTTGTTTTCTCAAAAACTTGGGTTATCTTTTTTTTTAATAAATAATGATAAAATAAATACAAATTTGTCTCTGAATCAATGTGTTTTCAGCACCAAATACCACAAAAATGACACCATGCACAGCGATTGAAAATGAAAATGTTTAAATAATCTTAAAAAGTATACGTACGAGATTAGAGTGTTCTTGCTTATATACTTGACAGTTAAAGTCGCAGTAAATTATTTCTCAGAAGATGAGACTATTTATTATTACACAGTTATCAATGTATCTAAACAACTGCGCATTAAAGTTTTCCCATCGGTCTGCACGCGGTAATAAGTTGTACGTTCCACTTCCATGATGACGAGTTGTTAAAATTAACACAGGTATGTATCCATATTCTTTATCACATTCTTGTTGAGGCTCATACTTTTTTTAGGTAGTTGGTCTCCGAAGATTATATGTAGAAGTTAAAAAAAAACAACATAACAGTCAGTTCTCATGGACAGAACTATCAACGATTTATATATATATATATATATTTATTGCCCCTAAGGATCTGCCGTCAATGATGTTATTTAAGAAACTATCTTGTTAGTGTTGGTTTTATAAAACTTGTACTATACGAGGGGTTATCCAAAAATTCGTGGACATTCTTTGTTGCGTAAAATATATTTGAGATATTGATTTAAAATTCTTACACTGCTTAGAAGAATAAACAACAAATAAACACAGAATAATTCATGTTAGTAGCTTCACAAATGACAACAATATTTAATTTTACATAAACACATGTCGGCGACAGCGGCGCACTCAAAAATGTTATTGACGTTAACGTCATAATAACGTTATGTACAACTTGTGCTTCAACGTAACGCAGTCAAAGACGGTTGCTGCTTCTCGCTTCTCAAAGTAATGTCCATTACTAAATTTCTTATGCCACTTAAAGACTTTAAATAAGTCTAATGATCGTGAAATTTTATTTTCTCTGTTCGCCTGCTGATTTTTTTCAAATGATTTTGTAGGTGTCATTCCCAAATTACACAAACAAAAATGATCCCGCTATTTTCTAATTTCTGCATGTCCGTCATTTTCACGTTGTAAACAATATCGGCGTTTGGCGATTCTATCGATATCAACAAAAAAGTAATTGAAGGACGTCCATTATTTTAAAGAATTACTTATTAGACACCATAGAAGAAACATGCGATGTTTGGCGGGTTTTCTACGTTAATTATTAGCTTTTTAGCAAAAAAAAATTACGATGACTAACGGCGCTTTAATTTCTACCGAACGCCAGGTGCCGTGTATGCGCTCATTTAAAAGCAATATAAAATCATTATTTATTGACACAATGAACTATTCCTTTCAAAATGTGTTGATAATATTCTACAAGGTATGCTGATAAAATTTCATTACAATTCACGTTGACGTTCAAGAGATATTTAAAAAGTCCACGAACCGTAACACAAAATGGGCTTACCATACATTTGAGGCGCGCCTGCCTGGAATGAACTGGACTTAAATAATCATTTGACAAAATAAGTTAAAGCAATTTTTTAATGCGAAATATTAATCACCTTTCCAGCGCTTTTTAAAAATAAAATCTATGAATATTGTACATAAGAATCCCGGTGAATATTTCAGAGGTATATCTTGTACGCAAATTTTTAAACTAACGAAAATGTAGTGATTTTTACTTAAAACTACTTCCATTTATTAATAATTACGCTAGAATATTATGTTCATACGTGTAGTGACTTACTGAGTGGCTTAATTACTGGTCAGAATCTCATGTAAAACAAAAGCATTGTTTAAAGCAAAAAATGAATAATTTGGTCATTGTTTCAGATTTGTCGTCAAGGTCAGGATGCAAATTGCCGATTACTTTCCATTGGAGTCAACATCTTTATAATAACATTATTTTCAAGTTTTGAAAAAAAATGATCGAGTTGATATGTAAATATTTTTTGAAAAAAAAAAGTTCTGTCAACTGTGTAATGTTTTTGTTTTGCTCTTTTTCAGGTATGCTCACTTTATTATTTGAAATAAAATAATAAACTGGAAATGCGCGAGAAAGTGCACTGATACCTCATTTAGAGCACCCAAAGCATACTGATACCTCATTTAGAGCACCTCAAAGTTTTCTAAAAAAAATCCAGATCTGGACATCCACGTAGGACCAATCATCAAGCTAGAAATCACACGTGCCATTGGCAAGATGAAAGGTGGAAAAGCTCAAGGACCTGACAAGATCCCACCAGAGGCGATAAAAGCATCAGCAGAAGTCACAGTAGAAATCAAGCTAGACCTCATCCAATACATCTGGGACACAGAAGAGGTTCCTGCAGAGTGGCAATCAGGGTACATAGTAAAGTTACCAAAGAAAGGTAATCTGAGCGAATGCAATAATTGGAAAGGTATACACCTGCTATCATCACCCAGTTAGATACTAGCAAGGGTCATACTGGAGGGAATCAAAGCGGACGTCAACAAACTCCTCAGAGAAGAACAGGCAGGTTTTAGAGCTGGAAGATCATGCGCAGACCAGATAGCAACACTCAGGATTACAATTAAACAGTCCATAAAATGGAACAGTCCACTGTATGTCAACTTCATCAATTTCAGGAAAACGTTCGACTCGGTGGACAGGGACACAATATGGAAGATACTGTGGTACTATGGCCTTCACAGTAAGATAGTCAACCTAATTCGGAGCTTGTACAGCAACAATCTCTGCCAGGTCATTCACGACATGGATTTCTCGGAACCTTTGACAGTGGATACCGGCGTCAGACAAGGCTGCTTACTCTCCCCGATGATTTCCATAGTTATTGATACTGGGTGATGAAAAGAACCTTGGATAGATCAAGAGGGATACAATAAACTCTGACAAACCAGCTGGAAGACCTTGATTACGCAGATGACATTGTTCTCCTGTGCCATACCTGCAACCAGATACAGACGAAAACAACAAGAATGCAAGAAATAGCCAGAAAAGCCGGACTAGAGATCAACGTTGTCAAAACAAAGTGTATCAGAATAAATCCAGGAAATACACAGAGTATTGACATCGGAGGACAAGTCATTGAAGACGTTGATACCTTCACATATCTGGGCAGCATTGTCAGTAAGACAGGAGGCACAGAGGAAGACATCAGGGCTAGGATAGGAAAAGCCCGCCATGCTTCTGCTAAATTAAGGCCAGTGCGGAAGAATCACAACATTCACCTGAAGGCTTTTCAACAGCAACGTGAAGACCGTTCTCCTGTATGGTGGTGCAGAAATATGGAGAAGGACCAATAGCCTGGACCAACAACTGCAAGTCTTTATCAACACATGCCTTAGGCAGATCTTGCGGATATGGTGGCCAGACAGAATCTCCAACCAAGACCTATGGGAAAAGACAGGGCAACGACAAATCACAGACTCCATCGTACAGAAGCAATGGAGATGGATTGGACACACCCTGCGAAGATCACAGCCCTATATTGCCAGACACAAGCCCTAGATCGGAATCCTCAAGGCACCAGGTGAAGAGGTAGACCCACAAACACCTGGCGCAGAACCTTAGATATAGAGCTCCGCTAAACAAGGATAGCCAAGGCTAAGGTCATGGGCCGTTGAAAATGGCGTGATGTGGTTAATGCCCTATGTTCCACAAGGAACGAAGAGGATTAACACCAAATACAAAGTTGTGAAATTTAGAGAACATCGATCTTCAAAGAAAAGTTGTGGCGGTCAGGCGATAAACTTTTAAGAAGCATGCTCTTCAAAATAACAAAAAGCACAGCATAGAAAAGGAATGCTAACACGTCATATGAAGTCAAATATGACGTCAATAAACCAAACGACATTAGGAAATTACTTTTACTCTCAATGTAGTGCAACATATTGTTTTCAATTCTCTTTCTTATGAGCATGTAAGAACGGAAATGGATATTAATTTTTCTTGGATTATAGTATTACAACGCTCGGTTTATCGTTCAAATGCTTTGTGATCAATCACTCAAAAATATAAGCCTTCGTAATGATATATTTCTGAGCATTTGAACACGGATCGTGCATTATTCTACAGCAATGCTCTCAAAAAATGATATTTATTTCCTAATTAGACCAGGAATTAACATCATTTTAATATTATCTCAATTAACACTGGTTATTGTGAGATATGTATGTATCATTTTATGGAATCCTAAAAAAAGCAAATAAACCCAATTTCACATACTAGTAAACCACGGCGCAGGAGTGGAAATATTTCCAATTTCCAATTTATTCAGGCAATAAAATCGGAAATTGGAAATATAAGTGGAAATAGAGGATATTGAGTGAAGGTTCAATACTGTATTTATAGTTGAATAAAATTATATTTTGATATTATTTTATTCAATGAGTCGTGACGGAGTCGCAAACCGGCACGGGTCAGTGATAATTAGAGGATATTGAATGAGTGTACGTTCAATACTGAACTTACACCCTCTGGCGATAAATAGAACATCGTTTTGGTAAAGATTCAATTCATTCTAAATTTATTGAACTCGTTGAATAATACAATATTAGTCAACCCTTTCAATAAACTTTTTTTATTGGCAAGCAATAAAAAAGTCGAGCGCGCTGTCTTACGGACAGCTCTTTTTATAGTGGCCCTAACTCAAAAATGAATGTACAAATGTTGATGATATTTTTATTTTATGAGTAGGCCTATAATTGATTTCCCTACATTTATATACATTCTTGATCTAGTATTGCTACAACTTGTTGTCCAACCCATTTTCATTATATACTCATCATATACATCATCATTAAAATAATAATTAATATAACAAGACTGAAGTACGGGACAACTTTTACACTGATACAAGGCATTAGATGTTGGCCCAGGCTGGCTGACTGACGGACGAACAACACCTTTTTTAATACCTCCATTCCGATTTCATTGTATAAAAAACTGAGTAGCCTTATAATTTAAATGTGTTGTCAGCGTGCTAATTTCAATATTAACAACAATTAATAATTTTCATATAGCGCTTGTATAATCTCTTAAGACCTTGCATATTCAAAAGGGATCAATAGTATTAAAACTTTGTTTGAATACCTTTGAGCGCGAAATTGATTTTTAAACAATTACTTGATTATTTTTGTGGGTTAAAGTTTTTGAACAAATAAATAAATAAACAATCAATGAAAGACTTCCGTAATCCTTGTAATATCTGTGTTGATTACAGACAAGATATCCATTTTAGATCCCGCGGAAAGTTATGTTATATGATACTTGTAATTCACCTTACAAGAGGTAATGTGAAACTTCATTTAGTCGTGTTCTAATCAATATTTTGAATCAATACATTTTTTGATGTATTGGATAATTAATACATCTTTCTCGAAAATTTATCTGTGTATGAAAAATGCAAAACAATTTGTCTCGGAATTAAATTTTATCAATATTTTTATATTGATAGAATTTTATTACAGCAGTCATTTCGCTTTTCATGGTCAATACAAACATACGTTTCTGTGACAACAGGCATATTACACTGGTGAATACTCCTAAATAATGTGAACACTTTATAGAACTTTTCGTATACAGCCGCTTATCTTTATTACGCATGAGTCCTATTATAATGTCAGACTGTATTACTTCATTTCTTTATAAGGAGTGAATCTATATACTCTTGAGAAATTTACTATGAATGTTTCAAAAACTGTGCAGTCACGTTACTCTCACATTCCTATGTTGGTCATTATAACAAAAGGTCTCTCTGTTATCAAATATACAGGAATTATGTAACACACACGTTATATATGGAGCACTCAAAACTGAAAGATATGCAAAACATCATTAGAATTCTTTGTGCTATTATTGGCACGATTTGAGTGAAATGTTGCAACGCTTTTCAATTTTCGGTCATTTTTCTCAAGTAGAATAATTATTCTAGAAAAACTTTGTGAGCGATTGATTTGAAATTTTACACACAATGTATTTGTCTTGACTTAAATCAAATGGAACATTTACCTCGAAACATTATTTTCAGTCCCGTCAAGTCAAAAAGTGGAACCCTTTAAGCATGTACCACCCGTTTAAATAACACCACTCTTTCTATTAAGGTTCTTTCGGATGGTTTTTAAGGTAGCAAAAACGTGTCAGTAACGTGTCATGTTTAAATGTGTATGTTATAATATTCTCTTGTTATATCAGTATTTCCAATGTACATGATATGGTATATGGTCAGTCTATAACTAGCTATATTCTTGCTGCTGGGATATTAGAACTGTGATGATATTGACCTTGACATTTGATCTAATGACATCTAAGGGTTCATCTACTACCTAGTCATAATGACATCAAAGTCAATAAGGGCCACTAAATGACAAGCTTCCCAATGAATAATCGTTTGATTGGTCTTTATAAATTAACTACTACGCTTTTGTCAATCCGATGTGTATATTCTTAAGAAATGTTGTTTAAAATTTAGAACACTTTTCAAAGAACTCGCAAAACAGAAGATTCAGATGGAAATGATCCATTCGAAAAATGCATTACAATAGCCTCAGCTTGTAACCTTGTTTTAGGAGTCTTTTCCTAGATCACGAAACTATTGGTATCATCCCATCTCATGGTTATCGGCCTGAGGCCAAACAGTCAGTGATGGATTATCAATGGTTATCCAACATTGCATTTGATCCAACATGGGCGAAATAAGGGGGAGGGGGTAACAGATAGGACCGTATAAAGTTGATGGTTACTATAAATCAGAAAATGATTAAAAAGTTGTTTTGGAGTTTCATGGCGATTTCTGGCATGATCCCAAATGTTTTTCCAAAAGCATAATTAATCAGGTTAACGGGTCATCTATGTCTGATTTATACACAAACACTATTGAAAAGCAAATATCTTGAATCAGAGGGGTATGTGTATCAGTGTATATGGAATGTGATTTAAAAACGAAATCCAATCCAAAAATGAAAGAGTATATAGATTCTTTAGAAATAGTTTTGCCCCTAGAGCCGAGAGATGTCTTCCATGATTGACGTACTTAAACATTTAAAATATATGCAAAGTCCAAGAAAGACACTCGAATTATATACTTTGATGTCGTCACGTCCCTATACCCTTACATAAATAAAACGGGCAAAATCCCCCTTGGTCACCCCAATATAATCACAGAAAATTTTGATGGATTGAATAATTATGACGGTTTAATCAAATGTTAGATTGTTCCACCAAGGAAATTGTATATTCCTTTTGCATTGGTTAATTAATGTTAACAATCTGTCGCACATGCAGTGAAACATATGAAAATGGCGTATGCAGTCATAGTCAAAATGATCGAGCCATCACAGGCACTTTAGCCATAGATGAAGGTGGCATTATATCAGGGTTAAAATTTACCAAGTTTGACATTTTGATGAAATAGCTCAATAATGATGCAGATCCAAAACAGGTGGACTGTTTACAGGTTACGTTAACACATTTCTGAAAGTCAAACATGAAGCCAGTGGTTGGCCAGATTGGTGTAAACATGAAAAGGACGAACAACAGTATATTCAACAGTATTTAAAAAAGGAAGGCATAATGCTAGAGTAGGATAAAATTAAAGAAAATCCTGGATTGAGATAACTAGCAAAAATAATTCTTACCTCTTTTTTGGGAAAATTCGATCAGAGATCAAATTTGACACAGACGAGTCACATTGAGGACCCAGTTCAATTCATTAATATGATGACGTCGTACCAACAAGAGGTCAAAAACATGCGTTGCAGTCCAGTTAGACTGGGCATACAAATCTGATTTTATAGAGGCTTTTTATAGGAGAAATGTTGTTTTGGCTTCTTACATCACATCTCAAGCCCGTCGTAAATTCAAAGTAATTATTGAATATAATACATGCGTAAATCAATCTATCATAAAATGTATTTATCTTTATTTATATTCTTTGTATCAAGAAATAAAA